GGGGGGTGTAAAAAAAAACAAAAAAAAACAAAAAAAAAAAGAGGAAAAAGAAACCACCCACCCGACTCTGCCCTCCCTCCTGCCACCCCCACACACCCCACTCCTCGTCCCCACTCTCCCTCTTCGCCCCCCCCAAAAGCAGAAAGCTGAACTGCCAACTCTTTCACATACTACCCACCAGATGAGGTGGGGCCTCTCTCCGGCAACCACTTAGCTCCAGAAATGATGTGAGGGTAGAAAAAGGCCACTCTGCTGGAAATTGTCACTCTTACACAAGCTGGCTCTATTCAGTCCCTGATCAAAGCACTGCCTTACAGAGAAAGTCGATTTGCACGCCCTGGGACAAAATAATCTAATTTACAAGCTCAGGCTATAGAACTTTCTTTATGCAGGAAGGGGAAAAAAAAAAAATACCAAAAAGAAAAACCACATAAACCACCCCCTCCCCACCACCAGAAATACCATCTATGATTTCTTGCTGCTTAAGACAGCAGAAAGAGGAATTTTAGCATATTAATCTCAAGACAAGATAAGTTTATACTCGTCTGTGTAAACAGTTTATTCGCTGCAGGAGTCGGGAGTCCGCAAGTCAACTGAATTAGCAAGTCAGAGAGTTAATTTTCGAGAGTGCAGCAACGCTGCGGATCGGATCCCCTCGAAGCGAGGCATGGATCTCCTGCTACACCTCTCCTTCTGGACACGCTGCGTCCCACCAGCACACGGACGCTGCTCGCAACGGCCGCCAGCCATGTGCGCCAGGCCAAGCCCCGCTCTGCTCGGAACTGGCGGAGCTGTGAGCGTGGTGGACGGAGCCAAGGCTCTCGCTAGACCCAACCAGGGCACCTCTGCTTGGATTTAGACCAGGAAGACAAAGTCAGTGCCCTTGAAAAGCCCTGATCAGAACCTGGCTCTCAGGGAAGGACCAAAACGTGACTGTACACAAGAAGGTTTTCGCAAGGATGCCAAAAGCACGTGGCTCCTGCCCAATGCCAAGCAGGGTCTCTTCTCTTGCATCACATAGGGATGGAAACGCTCTCCTCCCCTGCTCCCTTCCCTCCATGTGCACCCATTCCCAGTCCCAGCATTTCCCACGGCCAGGCCAGACCCTGCAGTTCCCACCTGAACTTACCGGAAAATGAGGTAGAGAAACTTGACCGTTGGCCTTGACGCTCCGATGCATTTCCCGCTGGAGCTGCTTCTTGCTCCCAATTCTGTATGGGGGGATCCCATCTCTGCAGACAGAAGAGAGGTCGCCATCAGCTAGGGCTCTCCCCATGCTCTAACCAAGACGCTTCTCCATCACCTCGGACACCACCCAGGCACAACACAGCCCCACATTCCCAGAGGTGCTGGGCATCACCCTCTGGACAGCACCTGAAGCCAGGAGAAGCCTCAGATGTCTGGCGGCTTGGGAAGGGCCTGTGCCACCATCTACGTGATGTGCAGTAGTTAAACAAAAACTGAGCAGCAAGCTGAAGGCAACTCCACATGGGAAGCTGCCCAGAGTTCCCATCAGCTTCACTTCTGAGGCATCTTACAGAAACGGCCTTCCAACGCTAGGTTTCTGCTTCTGCCCTTTATTTTTGTTGCTTTTTCACCACTGAAGTACACTCTCTGGGCTTTTTCACTACCGAATTACACCCTCTGGGACCACAACTTTCCTCAGGCTGTGAAACACCCCATGAAGTGCTGGCACTGTGCAAACAAGAATGAAGAGGCTGAAGACGGATGGCCACCAAAAGGCTGCTCCAGATCTCCAGCCCTACCTAAGACCCGGGACATTTCTCCTGCCCTGAAGCTGGCCGGCACAGGCAGGCCACCACGAGCCATGAGCAACACCAGGCCGTACCCTCCGGGCACAATATTATTCCCCTCGGCCACATTGGATCCTGGCCACAAAGCCATGAGACGAGGCCAGGCGAGGAGCACCAGTGGGAACAGCCCCCTGTGCAGCCCGCTCGAGGCAACACAAAAAATTACCTCATTTGGGATTAAAGGGCCTTTTACAGACAGCGGGGACAGCCGGAAGAGCATGCCTGGAGATCCTGAATGTCTAATTCCACCCCTTCCCTCAGACTGGCTGAATAACCTTGATCTCCGGTCCTATCCCTTTCATCCACCTGCCCCCACACCTGACTCATCTCCTGAGCGGAGAAAATAGCTCCTGCCCGAGGAGGAGCGGCGGCCAAGCAGGCAGCAGTGGCTCCACGCTGCTGCTGGAGGATCTAACACAGCACGCTGTCCCTATGTCCCACCTCCCGTGGCCATGGTGGTGGTGGGCACACCCCAACATGTTTTGGACACGCAGTCGGAGACAATGTGCAACGGAATGCCTTCCCAGAGACACCAAGTCCCTCCTCTTGAGGAGGATGATGAGATGCCATCGCTCCACCCTCCAGGTTTGAAGCACACTATCGCAGGCCTTTGTGAAGATCTTGGCCAAAGTTTTCGGTTGCCATCAAATTGTTTTAATGAGCAAGATTAAGCTGCAAAGCCCGGAGTGAAAGATCGGAACAATTTCATCTCAATGAACTTGGAAAAATCTTTGTAATAAAAGAGAGCACGCTGGCACCGCAGAGGAAGTCCTTGAGCCACAGGCTGAACACCAGCCTCTTCTAAACATGGTCCATGAATGCACGTTACACTACAAGCGAAAGGAGCTAATTGTCCTAGTGTCCCCACTGCACACCACAGGGCTCCGGAGTGCCTTCTAGGGAAGCAGCTCAGCACACACCGGCCATCGCAGCCGGCCATGGCCGTTGACCACAACCGCTGCAGGCCACCAAGCATTTCTGCTCCATGAACCCATGGGGCAGCAGGGCTTGGGGCACATGACACGTCTTAGCTTTGGGAGAGGATGGGGAAAAGCAAATCTAAGGTGAGAACCAAATCATCCGTACCTTCAGAGAAGCACTGAGGCTTACTGAGAAAATGCTCTCTTAGGGAAGACCTTCAATGTAGGGAACAGCGAGTAAAACAGGCATTTTTAAGGTAAGTAAACAGGCCAGCATGAGCACGTTACATGCGTACATCCATACAGGCCTAATCCCGTTAACACATTCAGTTAAAGAGGAGGTGTCCTCTATAAATGGCAGTTCAAGAAGCCAGATGGGGAAGAGTGAGAAGCAGCTGAAGGCCTGTGTGTTCAACACGAGGCACCCAAGGACACAACCAAGGGACAAGACGGAGGTTCACAGCTCTCCTGAGCTCCCCACCTCTCTCCAGGTCTGCAAGTATGAGATGGTGTCCCCAAGCCCTCCACTGTGGCCACCGAGCTGGGAGCACCTCTCCTTGCCGGGTATCCCCAAGCTCCCAGCTCTGGAGGGACCAGCTCTGCCCAGAGGGCCAGTCCTGGGACAGGCTATGGAGCAGGAGCAGGGACTCGCGCCATTCCCAGCCAGGGTGGCTTGAAAAGGAGGAGGAAAAGCAACGCTGGCCCAACACCAGGGCTCCTCGCTTTATTTAAGATTTGCCCTCACTCCAGTTGGTACGAAAGCTGCTCCTTCCCCCTGAACGCCCTCCGGGTGCACCGGAGAGCCCCACTTCACACCTTCTGCTCCTGCTCCCGCAGCCCTGCCTTGTCTCAAGAACTTTACAACTTGCAAGAACACGCAGAATTAAAAAAAGATTTCATTAAGAGAGAGAGGTATTTCACCGGGATGGGAAGGCTGTGGAGCAGCTCGGGAAAGCCAGCCAGGGAAATGAGGAGGGACTTTGACAGCTGCTTGGTCGAAGCTTAGGCCTTCCATACAAAACAGGGGGAAAATGGACAACGCCAGGCTGAAGGGGTGACCAACGGGTGATCCCCGAGCACAGGAGGGACAGACGGACGGAGCTGGGGCCGGGCTCTGCACAGCAAGAGCTGCGGGGGGCAGGGGGAACCCCGCTGCTGAAACAGAAAGTGCCTTCGAAATGAACAGGCTGAGCCTGGCCGGAGGTTTCGGGGCAGCAGAAGGCTAAGCCCAGCTCTCCAGGTGCCGCCTCTCCCCGTGCTCCAGCAGCAAACACTTGCACTCACTTTCCTGGCTACTAAAAGTTGTGGGATGAAGAGCGACAGAGTTTAGGCACTAAATAGTAGCGTTTAATTATAAACATTCCGGCTAACCAGGCTGGGGCTAAGCCAATCTCTTTCTGGGGGAAACACTAGTTTGAAGTCTTCTACCCAGTCAGCTGCCATTTAAGCTGAGCCAATTATCTTAGCCTTTTGACTCAGATGTGCCTGACCTAACCTGAATGTAGTTTTACTGCTGCTTTGAAATATCAGACTCATGCGCATATGCATTCACTCCCATCTTCATTTGGCAACGGCTCCGAAACAAGCCTCTGATCTCGCCAACATCAAAAGCCTGGTTTGTAAGATAAGGTAATATTTGAAGTTTGCTCAGCAGCATTCCCCTGTGTCCAAAGTAAATCCATAAATAAGATATAAGCAAATAAAAAAAAAAAATCCCCTTTCCTCTCCCCCCCATAATCAAGAAATGGAAATATAAATTTGCATGACGCTTTGTGGCTATTACAAAATATATAGGCACAGACTGAGCCCTGGCATCTGTAATAAAAAAAAAAGGCAGATTGGGCAGTATTTGGAGACCTCTCCTAACTCCAGCACAGTTCAGATTTAGATTTATTCAAAAAAAAAAAAACCCAAACACACTCACTTTCCTGCTATGTCTGGCAGACTTTTCCAGAACAAGTTTTTCCTCTTCAGTTGATACCAACATAAGCCCGAAGAGCTCATTTGCATTCGCCCTGACGAAGCAGAACAGACCCGGGTGCTCTGTCACAGGGGGCGAAGCCTCGCGGGCAGACGAGCGCCCAGGCTCAGCGGGTTTCTGCCCCGAACACGTCCACAGCACCTTCCGCAGCCGGCAGAGCCCGGTGCCGCGAAAGGCTGCGAATCCCAAATGTTTTCCTGCGATCCCGGCAGCGGCCCTTCGCCTCCGCCGAGGAAGTTTTGACGTCAGCCTCAACTTTCCGCGCAACCTTCCGCACTGCCAGTGTACCTCTCCCGCTCCCTGCTGCTCCCGGCCCGGCGGACGGAGCGTGG